TCCCATGTCCACTTATTAGGTAACCATGGTTTCAGTTATCCACGGTTTACCGTGCCCCATAAATAATAGAGGAGGGAGAGCTTAGACAATAACCTATGATCTTTAAGAAATAAAATTCATTCCACACTAATGTAAAAATGTTGTGTGCAAGATATTTTTTTGTTTCTTTTTTTAAAAATTGTGTTTATTTATTTTAAAATTGTGAGGAACCACACAACAAGGTGACAGTAAGTCATAAATGTAAAAAATAAAGATAGCAAGGAAGATGAAGAAGGAGAAAGAACAAAAAACATAAATTCAAAAATTGCATTGCATTGCAGTATACACAGTCCTCACAAAAAGTCTTGGGACGCTTGCTTAATTTTGTAAAAATGCTTTTGTTTCATAACAAAAAGTCCATTGACAAGCAATGTTCAACATATCCATACCTACTGTATCTTCCACAGTCATTTTATTTTTATTAAGTGTCATCATTTCTGACTGTCTCATGCAGTCCCGTTCTTGCCAATTTGCTATTGATTGCAGTTGTAGTCAATGGCTCCCAAAGGGGTACTAAACACAAATGATTGATGTCACACCCCCCTCGTGAGAATGCCGGCTCACCCGACAAATTAACTGCCCCTGGCACTGGCCCTTTAAAAGCCAGGGCTAACTCACACTTACTGCGAGGTTTTGTTCTTCCAGGTGTTGGCATACTGAGAATGTCTTGCTTGTTTCCCGTGTGTCCCTGACCTGAACTACCTGCCGTGTTCCCATCTACACCTGCTTCCCCCAGGTCCCCATGTTCTCTCAACTCCAATTCTTCCTCTTCTGTGATGAACTGACTTCCCTGGCTTAGCCAATCCTCTGCTCCGTAAGCTCGACCCCACCCTTGCTTCTCGATTCTGCCTCTGACTGCCCAGGGGATTCAACACTTGGTGATAATGTCTGTAAAATGTCCTTGATGGTTGCATATTACCTGGACATTTAGGCCTAGCCCAAGAATATTTTTTCAACAGTGCAGGCGGGATTCAAGAAGTTGTGAGTATGAATAGGGTTGAGGGTATCATCCACTGCACCTACAAGGCCAGGTACGCCTGCAATGGTGTGAAAACCATGGTACACAAAACCACAGTTAAATTATTTATTCTACAGGCAACACATCAAATATGGCATTCAATATGAATAACAGTGTCATGCACAGACTTTTCAGGCAGGTGCTTGAACAGGGGGGCATGGCTAACAGGTACGTTTTGCTGCCGTAAATATTCATGCTCACTTTGGCGGGGGGGGGGGGGGGTATGGGCGGGATTCAGTGCATGCCGTTGATGTTGACATGCCGGGTAATTCATGTTGAAATATTAAGCTGTACTGTTACAGCTGCAATTACATTATCCACAAAAATAATGTCTTAAACGTTTTAAAAAGCAAGGCTATTCTTGTGTTTTGAAACCTTGCCACCAAGCGGGATCAGGGTCACCAGGGTCACCAAGATACAGGGTGTTTCTCAATAGCAAGAACACGAAGATCGTACTTGTGGTCTTGGCAATACTGGTCTTGCTAACTTGCCCTCCAAGATCAAACTTAGTGCACAGTGAATCATGGGATTGGTTTTGTTTGGTGAGGATGAGTTAATCTATCCTTGATATTTGGGGTAGGGCAAAAACAACATCCAGGAATTTGTCCTGTCCTCTGTATGTGTCTTTGACAATGGAACAAGTACACAAAAACACAAGTTGGGTCAGGTATATGTATTAAGAAACACCCATGGTTTTGCTAAAAAGAAATACCTTGGTATGCTGCGTTACTGTTAAAAGCTAGTACCTAAAAAGTAGTTCTACTACTTCTTTGTACAAACATACTGTATAACCAAAATATGTGGCAAATATGATATGAGTAAGTTAATGCACTCCAAACCAGGCTTTATAGGCTTTTAAACACACTCTGCATAGACTGCTGTGATGTGACCTTTACCTGCAAAGCTGTGCATTTAAAAATGTATTGTAGCGCCAGTAAGATCTGTGCATCCCGGCATGCCTCACGAGTACTCGTGTATATAACCCTGTGTCTGTGTAATTGTAAATAGCCCTTGTATTGTTCTTGTTATGCTTATAGTTGCCTTCCTGATCGTAGCTGTATGTTTGCCCGTGTCTTGTGTGTACCCTGTACGATCTTTGCGTGTTCCTATATATGTGTTCCTGTATAACTCTCCTACAGCATGTGCACCTTACAGTTCGGTGTCCGACTACCTTGTGTTTCCACTCTGTGTATTTGGGGTTTGGTGCTTGTACCAAGATTATGTTCTGATATAACGCACTTGTAGTCCAGTCATACTTTACAGTTCTGTTTAACCTGCCTGAAAGAGATACGTGTACAGACAGGATGCCCAGAGTGGGCACCCCCTCGGCTAGAGTGCTGGTTCATTCCCATAGAAGTGTGACATCATGTATACGGTATATGAATTGTGTCATTGTGAGTGTGACCTTCAATCTGCCGACTCACGCAGGCCTGCATAGAGAACTGACTCAATCCTGGACTTTAACTTTGATCATGACCTCAGAAAACACCTTGCTTTTGTTAAAGCAGGCCCATTTTTTCCATTCTCGGTAATGTTGTTATGTCCAGAGGAGCTGAACATTCAAATTTTGAACCCCTAGAGATTTTTTTTCTCCCTATTCGGGAATTTTTCATTCTTCGGCTTTGTCTTAAGTCTTTATGTCGTTCCATCCGAACAAATGTTGTAATGATGGATTTTGACACATCACTAATATGTGCCTTGGGGTGCTACATAAAAATAAATTGAAATACTGGGATGCCATTGTTTAATAATTAGGTCATGTTAAGGCCATCTTTTTTTGAAATCTTGAATGCTGAGAATATTTTTGAAAAAAAAAAAAAATCAATAATATTAACCTATATGAATGTGCACACAATTAAACATTCATTTTTATAATACCTTGAGAATTTTCTAAGCAAAGGCACCCTGGTTGGGCTTATTCAGGCCTCTGTGACACATTCATACAGTAGATATGCATAGGCATGTGAGTGTGTGACCAGATGGTGGCACTCATGAGTCATGTAAATGCTGCACAGGACCTAATCAAAGGAGAATACTTTGTATTTGTGATTTTTAGATTTCTGCAAAATTTTAAAGATATTCAACTTCAATTCAAATTCAAAATAACTTTATTTGTCCCCGAGGGGCAATTAAAGGCACACAGGGCAGTTGAATAAGGACACAATGACATGAAGTGCAACAGTATTTGAAAGATGCTGTGCAAAATTGCAGTCAATCAGGTAGATAGGAACTGATAAATATGTAAAGGGAGGGATTGTTAGTGAGCATGGGGGGGGGATCAAGTGCAGAATGAATGACGGGTTCCTGTGCAGGGAAGCGGGGGGGAAGAGAAGTCTGTGAATTGAGTAGTTGAACGGCCATGGGAACAAAGGTCGCTTTCCTCCTCTGTGTCCTGCAGCCGGGACAGTGGAGCTGTCGTCCTGAGGGGAGCCACTCAAACTCCGGGTACAGAGCATGGGAGGGATCCCGCAGAATCTTGCATGCTGTTCTCAGAGTTTGCTGCTCACACAGGGATGAAAGTGCTCTGACTGGGAGTCCGATGATCTTAGAGCGGACTTGTGTTGTGCAGGCGGGTCCTGTGCTGCAGGCTGGTGGAGTGATACCAGCAGGCGATGGAGAAACGGAGGACACTCTCAAGGAAGGAGTAGTAAAAGGTTCTGAGCATGACCTTGTTGACCCCAAAACTGTTGAGCTTCCTTAGGAGATACAGCCGCTGCTGACATCTCCTTAGAATGTCCTCAGTGTTGGAGGCAAACTTTAGGGTGCAGTCAAAGATAGTTCCCAGATATTTGTACACTTCTACCACCTCCACTGTCTACCAGTGGATTATGCTGACAGATCCTGTCGCCAGCTCCCTCTGTTTACTGGAGAAGGTCGTCACCATGTCCTTGGTCTTCTAAAGTTAGAAATGGCACTGCCTGGGATATCAATAATCACTCTCTTTAAAAAAACTGATTTTCTTAAATATAATTCCCTTTTGTAATTCTTCTGTTTTAACCTGAAGCCCTCTGTTGTTTCAAGCTCCCTTTTGAAGTGCCACATCGGCAGTGCAAAGAGGAAAGACAAAAACCACAAATTTCTTTAGAAAGTTTTGGTTTTATTTAGCGAAGTTTCGATCTTAACAGCAAAGCTAGCGCCACTTTCAGGTTTCTCTTTGTGTTCTATGGTAGGGGTCTGCTACAGACTTACCTCGATCTTCTGTCTTTCAGCTGTGATAGATTTTATTTTTCTAGGTTTACCTAATGGTAGCAGTGAATACAATGTCAATGCAAAGGTTTAGAAGATGCTAAAATGATATGGATAATAGTAATGCATATTCGAAGCATACTACTTCAGTGTATATCAGAAAGCAATGGCAATTTTCCAAAAACGGTTAACATACAGTAAAATTACAAAGTCCAGAAGTGTGAATCACAGTGTTTAGCCTGGCTTAGAATGATCTAGAATAATCCTTACTGGCTGCATTTCAATCCTGAAGTGAAAACAGTGAACCACGAGTGCCTTGTTTAAACTGAATTTACATAGACACTGTTCACATTACAAAGCTGATGTCAAAAATGATTTATATTAGCTGTACTAACATAATGTGATTACAGAGTATGGTGAATAACTCTAAAACAAACAAAAATCAGAAAATCAAAGTTCTAATTACTGACTATGTTTCAGTTTCATAGTATTAAAATCCATAAATGCAAGTGTTTGTGGTAACTACATTGTAAACTTTACTGTAAATTATTGTTTGAATGTCCTTAAACATCCATAAAGATAACAATAGGATTGTTACCCATTAACACATGTACAGGAATTCATAGAAAATTGCTGATATGAATGGAAAAAAGCAGCTCAGCGGAAAAATGAGATCAGTGACTCGACCAATCAGCTGATATACAGTATATATATATATATAACATGCTCCACCCATTATTATGAAGATTCTAATGACACTTTTATTTCTAACGATACAACCACATGTTGCATTGAGGGGACAAGAGCTGCAGTGATGAACAAAATCTTTGTGGCTCTTATGCTGATCACTGAAATGGGTAAGTGGATAGAGTATGGCTACCAGAGAATTGGATATTATTGTAAACTTAAATTAATTCAGATTTGCTAGAATGATTTGTTATAACATTTATTTGGAATTTCATAATACTTGAGTAATAATGCACCAATTTACTGTGTTTTACAAGGTATGATGATGACAGAAGACATTTTTCAGCTAAATGCAGCAGTGAGAGTACAGCCTGGGGAAAATGTGGTACTCACATGCAACACTACATCTGATATTAGTTTTACAAGCATTGTTTGGTTCAGGCATATTGTTGGAACGATGACACAGGTTATATTAGCTTCATACACAGCAACAGGATATGCATCTTACGAAGAGATTAATGACAGGCAGAGATTTACTCTGCAGAAAGAGCAAAACATGTTTAATCTGAAAATTTCCGAGGCAAAGACCTCTGACTCTGGTATATATTACTGTGCACTCTTTGGCTACATGCTTAAATTGCACATTCCTACTGCAACCTTTTTAATCATATCAGGTAATTATAAAATATATGAAACTTTCATAAACCTTATAAACATATTAAAAGAAATTACAGACAAGCTAATGAATAACTATAATAATAACTTCATTACAACCCTTGATGACTGATTCACTCAGCTGTATTCTGTAATAATTATATATGTACATTTTTCAGGCACCACATTTTAAAAGTGGCCATGAAAACTGATTGATGAAAATCATGACCTTCTTCCAGGATTCAAGCCTAAAAGTCACACAGTAGTACAGCAGCCTGTGTCTGACACAGTGCAGCCAGGAGACTCTGTGAGCCTGCAGTGTACAATAGAGACTGGGAGCTGTGCAGGAGAACACAGTGTTTACTGGTTCAGACATGGATCAGGAGAATCCCATCCAGGAGTCATTTACAGCCATGGAAACAGGAGTGATGAGTGTGAGAAGAGCCCTGAGGCTGGATCTCCTACACGGAGCTGTGTCTACAGCCTCCCCAAGAGGAACCTCAGCCTCTCTGATGCTGGGACGTACTACTGCGCTGTGGCCATGTGTGGGGAGATGCTGTTTGGCAATGGGACAAAGGTTCACGTAGAAGGTAAGTTTTCAATAACTTTTCTCTTCAACCAACATCTAGATTAGCATTTCAAGACAAAAATTAAGAGAAAAAAATTAATTCCTAGATAATATGGAAAATTCAGGCTTTACAAGTTTGACATTCATCAATACATTCTTCCAACCCATTATCGTGTCACAGTTTCCATTTGTAATATATGAAATTCAATCCAGTTGTGCCAAGTGTGTAATCTTTCTATAATTTTCTAAAATGAAAAAGAAAATCAATTCTCCCAGGCCGCCCCAATGTTAGGAAAGATATTTTACTTTCCCATCTTTAATTTTTAAATTCTGCATCAGGAAATTTTTGTGATGACCATGCTAACATTAAACAAGAAACAGAGAACAAATATATATATATATATATATATATATATATATATATATATATATATATATACTGTATATATATATATTAAATAAAGATGGAGTACAGCACAATGAAAACATTAAAATGTCCTTCTGTGTAACAAAACAGTAAAGGATTTGTCTCTGCCATCTTACTGATAGAAACATTGTACAACATTGTAGATAAACCAGAGATGGTCCTGTAGCATCTGTCACTCACAATGTATTACTGGATTTTATTTTATAAAATATAAAAAAATGAATTTAATTTCTTATAGGATCTTGCATTAAGGATTCCATAATCATCGGCTTGGGAGCTGCTCTATTTTTGTGTGTGACTGTCATTTTTGTACTTGCCTGCCTCAGAAATAAGAGGACATGCTGTAAACATCGTGCAGGTAGGCTACGTTAGTTTGTATCATGATGATACAAATAATAAATGGTAAAAATAAATAATAAATGATTGAATCAGAAGCATCATAAAGTGTCAAAAAAAGGTGAGGTATATATGTAGACAGCACGTATGAGTAAATAAGTAAAAAAAATACATTGACTGAAGTAAACAGAGAATAAAATCTAAAGGATAATATTTCTGATCATCTAGTAAATTTTTATACTCTATATGGACAAAAGTATTGTGACGCACCTCCGAATCATTGAATTCTGGAGTTTCATTCAGACCCATTGCCACAGTTGTATAAAATCAAGCATCCAGCCTTACAGTCAGGTTTACAAACCTTTGAAAAACAATAGGTCTTTCTGAAGAACGTGGTGAAGTCAGTTTGTGAAATTTCTTCCCAGCTGGATATTCCTCAGTCAACTGTAAGTGGTATTATTGCAACGTGGAAGCATTTAGGAACAACAGAAACTCAGGCACCACTTAAGTAATAGAGTTGGGTCTCCGAGTGCTGAGGCGCATAGTGTGTAAAGATGAGCATCTGCATGCGAGCCTCACATCACTAAGTGCAATGGCAAGCGTGGGATGGAGAGGTGTAAAGCATGCCGCCACTGGACTCTGGAGCAATAGAAACGTGTTCTTTGCAGTGACAAATCATGCTTCTCCCTCTGGTAGTCTGATGGACAAGTCTGGCTGGACAGATGCCAGGAGAACGAAACTTGCCCGATCGCTTTGTGCCAATTGTAAAGATTGGTGGGGGATGGATAATGGTATGGGGTAGTTTTTCAGGGGTTGAGTTTGGCACCTTAGTTCCAGTGAAGAGAACTCTGCAATTCAATGACAATTCAAGACAATTCAATACTTCCAACTTTGTGGAACAGTTTGGGGAAGGCCCTTTTCTGTGTCAGCCCAGTGTACAAAGCAAGGTCCATAAACTGTAACCAACAGCCCTGACCTCAACCCCATCAAACACCATTGGGATGAAAAGAATGGAAATTGTGATCCAGGCCTTCACCTTTAACATCAGTGCCTGACCTCACAAATGCTCTTCTTGGTGAATATGGGCAAAATTCCCACAGACACACTCGAAGATCTTGTAGGAAGCCTTGGCAGAAGAATGCAGGGGCGCCGCCAGAGGGGGAAAGGTTAGAACGATTCTAGGGGCCCAGCACTGACATGGGGCCCTGTTAGGGGCTTTACCTTTTCCCAAAAAGGGGGGGCAAAATTCTAATCTTTCATGGGGCCCAAGATTTCTGGTGGCGCCCCTGGAAGAATGGCAGCTGTTATAGCTACAGAAGGGGACCAACTACATATTGATGCCTTTGGATTTAGAATGGGACGTCATAAAAATGTATGTAGGTGTAATGGCCAGGTGTCCCAATACTTTTGTCCATATTGTGCATTTTAGCATTTAAACTATTCATAAGTATTGCTCATTTCTTTGGACACAACAGACGTATAAAATGTATATATATGTTTTATTTTAATGTATGTTAATAGCATGTGACTCAGAGGCAGGCCACCTTAATGACCTCAATGCAAAAGAAAGAAGCAACCAGGTAAACAGTGAATTTTATTTTAACCTTCATCTCTGTACACATTTTATTACACCCACTTTCTTCCTCTTATTACATCTGACTTCCCTTTGCCTTAGAATCATAATCCTGAGATGCTAAATTATGCTGCACTGCACTTCACTCAGAAGAACCCTGATTGTCGAAGAAAGAAGAGAGAGACGAAACAGGACAGTGTGTATGCAGGTGTGAGGTTACCAGACTGAAACATCAGTTTGATACACAATCTTGATGCTTGTTTTATTTTAAAAGTACATAATGCTGGTTCACTTTTACAGAAAGACCTACAGTATTACATTTATGTATTTGTTATGCTCTTTGGACATATTGTAAGTTGCCAAATTTAAACTTTCCTTCAACTACATAAACCTGATATAGTTTTCTGTTTGCCTAATGGTAAATTATCTTCATGTACAGTATAATCCTATATATGTGGGTATTCTTGTAAAGACCATGGTATAATCTACTAAATAAACACGGGGTTTCAAAAATATGTAACTACAGACTGCATTATGGAAGCCTTGAAGTGCCAAATAAATGAACAAATCAGAAAACACAACGGCAGTTCTGAAAACAAATTGTTTTTCACATCTGAGCTTCTGTATTGCAAGAGTCTTAAATGCTAGAAAGGGGGTCTGTTGGCTCGATAGCATTGTATTCCCCAGACAGCCCCATCACCTGCTCCGGCCACTTACTCTGTAGCCCACACACACTCACCAACCTAGGATTTCTACATGTACTGAATGGATCAACTGGAAATGTGAAAAAATAATTATATATATGTTAACAAAATCTTTCCCCACCAATTATGTGGTTACTTGTATTTCTTGTCTTAATGTCTATGTCTTAGAGTCATTTATATCATTCATATTTAATATTTCTAAATATCTATATTTCTTTCTCATGTTCACTATGACCAACATTTTCTGTTACATAAGAAAAATAACTGTAAAAGATACACTAATGGTACATACAGAGCCCAGGAGGGGCCACAGACATTTTGTGTGTGTGTGTATGCATACATGCGTGCGGGTTATGTACCTGTACAGTGTATGTTACATTGTAAGAATGTTTTACAAAAAAACCTGTTACATTGATGTTATGGGGACCATCATTTTCACTTGATGCAATCAAACGACTAAAATCATCAAAAGTCTTATATTTTGTTTGGCTACTTACTGTTAAGGTTATGGCTGAGTAGGGGTTAAGGTTAATAGATAGGATTAGGGTTATGCCCTTAAAAATGAATGGAGTGTCCCCATAAAGATATGAATACAAACTTGTGTGTATGTGTGTGTGTGTGTGTGTGTGTGTGCATCTGCGTGCGTGCAATGTAAGCCTATTAAATCATGTGCTTAATTTGACATTCCCACAAAATACTAAATCCAGCTCACATAATCCCTAAAATATGCATGTGATTTACTTATTTGTGCTTTTGAATTAATGTTATTTTGAGCTCTTGTTACGCGCCGTAGCAAGTTCAGCTTCGCCCACGGGCCTCGTTGTCGGCAGCGCGCCCTCCATTCGAGCTTTGCTCGCCGTTTGCCACATCCGTCACTTCCGTCTCCTCGAAGTGAAAAGCCGAAAGCAAGATACCTTGAGAGCTCTGCTCATTTCCTTTGATATTGTTGGTTTGTTTTCTTTGATTGATTTATTGTGTATGATGGTTTTTGGTTTATTGGATTTCTGATTTTTTGCCTTGCCCCTCTCTGTACTTTCTCTTTGGTTAATTTGCTGATTGGTTTCGATCTCTCGCCTAGTTTTGGTTTATGTCTTTGCGTGTTCCTCGGATTTTGACGCTTTGTTCAATATGTATGTTCTGTGTGTATGTCAGGTCCATAGGGAGTGATTGCCATTTTTGTTTGCGAGTTTTGTTGTATGCTGTTGTTTGGATAGGGAATGAGGCATAGTATTTGTCGTTTTGTTCTTTGATTTCTTTGCACTTAGGTAAGGTAGCTTTGAGTGGTGTTTGGTAGCTGGGTTTTTGTTTATTGTTTTGTTCATTGTTCATTGTTATTGTTCATTCCTGAGTCCTTTTGTTTTGTCTGTGTCGCACAGTCTTTCTGTCTTTCTCGGCTTTGTTTGGCGGATTCATTTTGGTGGGGAAAGTCTTGGTAATTGGGATTCGCATGGCTACCTTCGACTTGCTTGAGTTTACCCTATACCCCATTGAGGAGCAGTTTGACTGTTGTAGGAAGACTGATCTGGTAGCCATCACGGGTTTCTTTAATGTGGTGATCCCTGTCAGTGCCTCAAAGCGGGCAATTAAGCAGGTCCTGCAGGACCAATTGGTCATGCTGGGAATCCTGCCAAAGCCTGGTGATCTCTTGGGTGTTGCACCCTGCCCGATCTCGTTGCCTAAAATGGCGGAAGCCGGAGGCCCGGAGACTTGGCTACGCATGAATCCCAGGGATCCCGGCTCGCCCAAGGAGGACATCCTCCTTACAATTCAGCTTAGGGAAGTTGAGTTGGAAATTAAGAGGCAGGATAACTAAGCCCAACTCCTTCGGATAAGGGCTTTGGAGATGGAAGCAGATCGGGATGCTGCCCTGCAAAAGGCAAGGGTGGGCCAGCTACAGCCCACTCCTTAGCCACATAAGATAAGCTCGCTCCCTTGGAGCTACTTGTTTCACTTCCTTAGTTCGTGCCGGTGTTAACCCGCCGGATGATGCTTCGCATCCTCGCACTCATTCTCCGACAGTTCCACCCCGTTCCCTTGAGAGGGAGAATATTGGATTTGATGTCAGTCGTCATATTGGACTCATGTCCATATTTAGAGAAAATTAAGTAGATGCATATTCCCCCATCTTTGAGCGCATCACGACCATTTTGAATTGGCCCAGGCACCTTTGGTCACTTTTGCTGCAGTGGGGAAAGCTCAAGAGGTTTGTTCAGCTCTTGCATTGGAACAGAGCCTTGATTATGATGTTGTAAAGGCTACTGTCCTGTGACTGATTTCGACCAGCTCAAGGAGCTGATTTTGCTTGAAGAGTTTAAAAACTGTGTACCTGATCGTGTTGTTATATATCTGAATGAACAGAAAGCTACATCTCTTGCAGAAACCGCTACTCTCGTTGATGAGTTTGTGTTAACCCATAGAACTGTGTTTACCCTGACTTGGTTGCCCCGCAAGCTCCATCCTAGATCAGTGCCACCTCCTGAGATGGCCGCTCCATCAACCCCTCTGGTAGAAACAAGAGAATGTTTCTATTGTCATGAAGTTGGTCACATCATTGTTTGTCCTGCCCTCTGGCGCAAGAATGCTCATTTGGCTGTTAAAAAAGGTACATGTTGCCGCTAGTATTGATGATGCCTCGCCACCAACCCACATCGTCAAACCTTCCAACCGTTTGTGTTTACTGGTTTTGTTTTGTTTAATGAGTCTGATGTAACCCCGTAACCATTTTGCATGACACTGGTGATTGATACTGTGTTGCAGGGGCGTCAGAAGCATTTTGAATGTGGGGGGGACACAATGGCATAAAACTAATATTTTATGTTAAATGTGGGGGGGTCCAAACGAATAATTATGAAATGTGAGGGAGACGCGTCCCCCTCAGATTTAATGGCGGCTACACCCATGCCCCTTTTCTGACTCCATCTATTGTGGTAGTGATGTTCTCGTGCAAGGTATCAAATTGGGTACTGTGAGAGTGCCTCTTCACCAGGTTTATTTGAAAACTGAGGATTTCTCGGATTTGTTAAAGTGGCTATCTGATCTCGACTCCCTGTCTCAGGAGTACCTTTCATTTTGGGAAATTATATCGTGGGAGGGAAGGTAGTTCCACTACCTGAGGTTACATCAGAACCAGACGACTGATCTGACAATTTGAAAAGTAGCTACCCTGCTGTGTTTCCCACCTGTGTCCTCACTCGTGCTCAGGCCCAAAAGTTTGCAGATATTTAACTGTCTGACACCTTTATGGGGGATCCCGCGATCTCCGTTTTGCTCCCGTGCCATAGCATTGAACCTGTGGCGGAAAAGCCAGTTTAACCCCATTCAGAGACACCCACTGACAGTATGTGTATGCGGGAACAGTAAATCACCGCTCATGGAGCTGACACGTCTCTAAAGGAGTGTTTTGAGAAGGCAGATCTAGCAGACCATCCCGTAGCTTATTTTACAGATCACAATGTTCTGATGAGGAAACAGACCCTTCCTCATTCTCCTAAGGAATGGGCTGCGGTGTTTCAAATTGCAGTCCCATGTTCCCACAGAAGTCATGTGTTATCCTTGGCTCATGACCATCCGTATTCTGGTTACTTAGGGGTTAGGAAGACTCTCGCTCGCAGGGGCGCCGTAAGGGGGAGGAAAGCTAGGACGAATACTGAGCGACAGGGGCCCTAAAAAATTAGGAAAATAACTGGATTGGTTTGGACTGGGGGGCCTAATATGATATGCTTTCATGGGGCACAAAATCTCTAGCAACGCCCCTGCTCGCTCGTATTATGAAGTATTTTTATTGGCCAGGAATAAACTCTGATGTAAAGAAATATCGTCATTCTTGTCGCGCTTGTCAGTTGGTTGGGAAGCCCAACCAAACGATTGGGGAACCGTTCAAGGACGTTTTTATCGATTGCGTGGGTCCATTACCCAAAGCTATTTAGGAAAATAGCTACCTTCTGACAATGTGTGCCACTACCTGTTATCCCGAAGCGATACCTATGCGAAGCTTAAAACCAAAAGGTATGGTAAAAGCCCTAATTAAATTCTGCACAACGTTTGGTCTACCGAGGTACCTTCAGTCTGACCAGGGTTCAAATTTCACTTCCCAGTTATTTTCTCAGGTGGTACGTGAACTAAACATTCAGCATTGGCTCTCTAGTGCTTATCACCCGGAGTCCCAGCGGGCCCTGGCGTGTTTCCACCAATCATTTAAGACTATGCTGCGTACCTACTGTTTAGAGGCAGGGAAAGACTGGGACGATGGGGCTACCTTTGCCTTTGTTCACTATTCGGGACACTGTGCAAGTGTCTCCTGGTT